CTGGTTGGGGACATGACTTTCTGATTTCATATGTCCCTTCTACCTGCTAGGAATCCCTACGAGGCCACCGTGGAGGATGAGCAGCGTATTGGGGGGAATGGGGTACCTAGACCCTGCTGGGCTTTCCCCCAGGAGCAGATTTGATGTGTGGGGCCTCAGCTTTCATGTCAGCTGTGAAAAACTACCTGGAAACATGACTTCCCGTTTCTAATGCCATCTCTGGGAGAAGGTGAAGTCTGCACTTACCTTCGATCTGCTCTGCAGTGAATTCAATCTGTCGGGAGAAGAGAACAGAGCCAGGCATGAGGGCTGTGTTACTGCTGGGGTAACGAAGGGGCTCTCCCCTGCATTTGAACATCTCCCTCCCCAGGCTCCGCAGGCTGCTCGGGATGGGGGGGCTGTATCCATGCCGAGTCCGGCTGTGCCATGCCCGAGAGCGCTCCTGCCCTTGCTGCGGAGCCAAGATCCCTGCGGGAAGTGCAGCCAGAAGCAGTGCAGCAGGCAAGGGGTGGGCAGGCAGTGGGGATGCTCGGACCACAGTCACGGCTGTTTTGGGTGGAAAGGATGTTATTTCAAGGCTTGAGCTCTAGTTCAAGCGACTAAATAGTGCCGGTGCTGAGCCTGCTATTAACAACTCTCCTGCCACAGCTCTGGCTTAAAAATGTAACTATATCCCAGGGAATCGCGGAAAAAGTGAGCTCCTATTGTAGACACTTGGATAAAAGATGCTTTCACGTGGAGAAGACAATGCAGGCGGCAAAATACTTTAGGATGGAGACAGTGGATGGCAGAAAAGCTTTTTCATGCTGCCAGGGCCCCGACACGGTGTCTCAGCCGGGGACTGTGGGGTGTTTGACTCCGCAGCCGGAGCTCTGGGCAGCAGCGTCCCAGTGCGAGTGCAAAGCAGTTTCCCTGGGCCAGTGCTGTGCAGGGCTGGATGGGGCAAAATTGAAACATTCTCCCAGTGAGGAGAACATCACTCCCAGCCCACTGCATCAATGCAATCTGATAATTTTCCCCTCCCAACCCTGGCTCTCAGCCTGGCTAACGCCGTTCGCGTGGCGCATTGCATCGCCCATGCCTGGCAGATGACAGGCACGAAGAAAGACGGTGACGTCTTCACTCCTCACTCACCTTCACACTCTTGGGATCGAAGGCAGGCTCTCTGGGTGGCTCTGGGGCTGGACCCAGTTTGGCTGCTTCCTTCTTCGGGTCGGGTTTCTTGAGTGGCATCGCACTGGGTCTGTGCAAAGGTGCAGGAATGAGTCCTGCCGCCCAGCAAAGCAACCGAACGGAGGGATGAAAGGCAAAGTCTGCTCCTTCCCTTATATACAGAGCCCTGTCCTCACCCCGGAGGGGCAGGCCAGCTGCTGGAGCAACTGCTACTTACTATAAAAGGAAGAAAACTCAAACGAGAGGGGCCCCAACTTGACAATTGCCCATTGTCATCAGCTCCCGGCAAGGCGAAGCCACCAGCTGCCCCCCCCCTCCAGCCACAAAAGGGGGGACGTCTCCCCCTCCAGCACCTGCACCGGGTGGGCTGCATGGGGGCTGCTTGCTAAATGATCACTGAAAACCTAAACGCGAATGGCTCTGGGTGCCTGGCAAGAAAATAGCAACACGACGGCTGATAAACCTGCTGCGATACCCACGGGAAAAGCGTGTCTGTTTTTAGGCAGGCCTGCAAGGGCAAACACTGCAGAGCCCTTTTGAAGACTGGGATTTATGAAGGGCTGCTTCAAAGGAGCTCAGTCCTCTCTGAACGATCCCCCCAGCTTCGTGCTCAGGGTCTGGTTTGCCCCAGTCTCTCCCCAGGGCTGAGCTTGTGCCCTGGAAAAGGCCACGCTGCGGGCGGGAAGCCGTGCTCACCTCCATCAGAATGGTTAATGAGGATAATGCAAATGAGGGCTAAAGCCAGGCATTTAATTCATCAGCTCAGGATCTTTCATAGCCCTGTACCATTTGTCCCATGCATCCCCAAAACCTGTGGGGCAGAGCGGGTGATGGGGTCTCCTTTCAGCTCCTCTCCAGGCGGTGGGCAGGCTCTGGTGGGAGATGCTCTTGCTCTCACCTTCCTCTCCCAACTGTTTGAAGAACTGCAGAAGAGGCAGAAGAAGTCATCGAGGTTCAGCATCCCACAAAATGGGGCTCAAGGGTTACACTGAGACAGCCTAAACCATCAACTGAAGTATAGCCAGATTGCAACAGAGCACAGGAGGAGGAGAACCCATCCCTAGTTTGCATTGGGGTCCGAGAGCTAGTATTTTGGTAACAGAAATAAATGGACAAAAAATTATTTGCGACAGGTGAGAGCATCTTCTCTGCTGTGGAGATGCTGCACAGCCTCATTTCTCTGGCTAGCGCTTGCTTAATTGGGCTGCAGGGACGGCTGCAAGCCGCTGGGTGGAACAGGATCCTGCGAGATGCTGTTAGTCCTGGTGTGAGAGCTACGAGGTCTTGGTGCTGGTTGGAGTCTGAGCCATTATATTTGTACATACACATATATGCACCCATTATATATGTATTTAAGTTTTGCTTATACACAGATATAGAAAATGCAGTTATACTTGTATTTTCAGGTGGTTAAGTCAGGCTGGTTCAGGTCATGTTGTATCACAACAGCTCAGGCTTGGCATGACCGGGTAGGTCTAATCCTGCTGTTTTGGAGCTGCTGGAGGGCTAGGAGTGATGGGAACGGAGGGTATCACCAGCTCAGCCCTGTGCTCAGAGCTCCCCCCCAGCCTCTTTCTTGCTGAAATGCTGCTCAAGCCAGAGGCTGAGCCATCGCCAGCCGGGTTATGGGGGTTTTTCAGGAGGAGGGAGCAGCCGCAAACTGCTGGGAAATTTGCTGTCTGCTATCATCTCACGATTGCTAGCGTGGATTCGGGGAGCTGAGGGGGCTGGATGATGGGGCTGGGTGGGTGTCATTTGCAATGATTGCTTTCCAGTTCTCTCTATAATATAGCAAGTAATTTAGCAAAAAAAACCCCAACATGTTTTGCTAACTGCAAACTCGGAGCTGGGTCAGATTTCGCCTGCAGTGGGAATCAAATTGCCCTTGAGTGTTGCTGCCTCCCCCTCAGCCATCATCCATCCATACGCACATCCATCCGATTCTAAAATAACCTCACCTTAACTCTGTCCTCACTCCCCAGCAGCTTCTGGGTCAGAAATCAGTACCCAGAAGAGCCTTCAGAAAACATTAATCCTGCAATTTAGCTGCTTATCCCTTCTCTTGCCCTACGTGCCCATGCAGCAAGCGCGGGAGCTGCGGTGCCGCTCGGCAGAGCGATGCCGCTGGGCTGGTGTCAGCACCCACATGATGGTCCGGGGTGGTGGCTAAATTGGGCCAAGGAGACGGGCAGCTGCGGAAGATGCCCCTAATCCCTCCTTGATTTACAGCTGATTGCTGTGGCAGGGAAAGCAACCAAGGCTTGTTTTCCTGTCCGATTTAATCAGAGGGAGCAGCAGCACCTCCTGAGTGCTGTCATTTGGATTTGCTTTGCCCTCTCAGCCGGCTGATCTGCCTTCTCTCACCACAGGAGCCGAGCAAAAGTCTGACCCTCCTCCAACCAGCCAGGAAAACCCCGAGGGGGGCTCTGCTCTGTGCAGGATTTTGGCACTTATGGAGGCAGCAAAAGCTGTGCCCGGCCATGGACTATATGGGCCAGGGGAGAGGCCCTGGGCTAGGAGCCTGCTGTTCCCGGGGTTTGGCACTGAGCTTTTGAATTTCAGCCTCACCCCAGTAATGATGACCTGCTCGGGGAACAAGGACTCCCCGCTTTGTGCCCCCATTTCTCCAGGGGGACGCTCGGGCTGCTGGGGGGACACAAGGTGTTTGAGCTGGCAGGGTGGTGGGAGCAAGCCGGGCATCTGCATGATCCCAAAATGCAGGGGACAACCCTGGGGCCTCCCCAAGGGGACGCAGGTGACAAGGGACCGCTCTGATGGGGACGGTGCCAGCTGCAGTGGGACCAGCTCTGACCTGATGCCCAAGGACCTCCCGGCCCTGCCGGTTCGACTCATCCCATTCCCGGACTGCGTGAGACACCCATCAGCGTGGAAACTCCCTGCTGCCAGGACTGTTCGTCTACCCTGCCTGCTCCTGATTTAGTCATCAGCCCCCCTTGCAGAAGGCTAAATGCAGTTGTGCAGTGAGGTCCTTTTGCAAAGCAAACGCACAAAGGCAGTGGGGTGCTTGTCCTAAGTGGGGAGCGGGACTGATCCCAGCACATCTCCTCCAAACACACCCCAAACCTGAGAGAATGAAAAGGGTTAAACTGGTGTCTGCCTGAAATCCATCCCATCTCAGGAGCATCAGTGCTGAGGTGACGCTCGCATGCTTGCACCCTTTGCCTCACTACCTCCAGCCACATCGCTGGGATTTTCCCCGCTGTCCTTTGGTTCCTTGGGACCAGGCTGGGGCTGGAGGGGACTGAGCAGCATGGGGGCAGTGGGGGGACGCTGTGACAGCTGAAAAATGAGCCACCAGGCAGTGAGAGAAATTTCTGAAAAGAGAAGAGGAATCTGCCTTGAATGAAGAGGATTTTAGCACCTAGGGCTAAGCCAATAAACCTCTGCCATCCCCATCCGAACGGGAATTGTTTGCACACGCTCCAGGAGCTGCTTAAAGCAGGCGAGATGCGGAGAGTGAATAGGAGCGAGCATGGTGGGGGGAGAAACCCCCCTACCTGGTAAGCCTGCGAGCAGATCCCTATAGGAGTGCCAGGGCAGTGCCCTCCGGGGCAGGGGTCTCGTCCCAGGGTGCTCCCCCAGCCTTGAGCTCCCAGGCACGGGCCACCTCGCCTCGACAGGGAACAGCAGCCGGGAAGGTGCTCCCAGAAGATGCTCTGTCCTGCCGAACACGCCAGCCCTCTCCGTCACCCGTGGCCTCGGGCTGGCAGCAATTCGGGCTTCCCAGACGTCTGTCCCCCAGCAAAGGCTTTGCTTTCTCCGGCTCACTGTCCCTGAGGTCCCCATCCAAGTGACACGGTGGGACCATGGAGGCATCCGTCCCCGTGGGAGGTACCATGGTGGCTCTCCTCTGCTGCTGCCTCCTGAGCTCTGCATGGGCGCTGGTAAGTTTGCATGGCCCCGTGGGCTTCTCCGGTCCCTCTCCTGCCTTTAAATATTGCTAATTGTGCAACCCGCTCCGGTCGGTGCCCGTGTGCCCACCGGCTGCACGTCCCGTTCTGCAGAGCTGCCAGGCAGGAGCTGGGTGGGATGAGAGAGCCTCTCCGCTCCCGCTAAAAGCTTTCTAGCAGCCACGGAGACACCACGACCTGATGGTTTTTTCCATTTCTTGGACGCATCCAGGGCAGGATTCGCTGCCTCAGAGGCATCGGGAGAACAGAAAGAGCGGGGCGATTTACGGTCAGCGCAGGCGGCGAGCGCAGAGCTGGGCCCCCACCCTGCTGATGCACCCCAGGACCCTCACTCCTGCCCTACACCCCTCACCAGCCCCTGTCCCATCCACCCACCTAGACGGCTGCTTTTGGGAAGAGCGTGAATGGGAGTTCAGGGTCTCCTCTCTGGGGCAGGATTTGGCCGTGCTTACCTGTGGGCAGTCCGGGAGCCAAAGCGAACCTCCCGCATCCCGGCTCCTTTTCACTTCCAAAACTGTTTCCTCATCCTGGCTCCAAATTCCTTCAAGCACCTCAGCCCAAAATGTCTCAAAAGACATTTGCACGTGTGGTGCAACCGGGAGGCTGCAGACGCCGCAGGCTGCACCCATGTGCATCACACTGCTCCCGGTGCTGAGCACCCGCTTGTTTGCAGAGCCCCGGCCAGCCACTTCAACCAGGGGCTACCAGACCTGGCTCTGAAGGGCTCATTTTGGGCAACAGGGACATCCAGTGCCGCTGGTGGGGTGGGTGAGAGGGAGCCAGGGCAAAAGCCCAACGTGCCACTGATTTCCAGCACAGAAACATGAACATTTCTCCATGGACCACGGACAGGGTGGAAGGGGGGCTCTTGGTCAGCCTCAGCCTTGCAAGAGGGAAAAAACAAGAGCAGGAAGGCGGGCAGCGCTTTTGTCTTCCCTGTGTCGTTTGTATCTATACCCAAAGCCACACAAACCTGACTCGCCTGGGGAGCACGGCCATGCCATGGCTGCTCCATTACCTTTGCATACCAGCACATCCATTTTCCATGTGGGCTCCTGTCTTCCCTCTCACACTGGCTTTGACTTTCATTTCTTGCCCCCAGGATGGTCCTGCTTGATGCTACGATGCTGGGGTTCAGCAAAGCGTTGTTTCCATGTCACTAGATGATGTTCGTGTAGTGGCCCTTGAGCCCCTTGTGATTTTGGACTTGGTCTTAATTAGCTGGGTGGATTCAGGGGTTGGTGGCAGGGAGCACCAGGGTGTTTTGTGGCAGCAGAAGCGACATGGGTCCTGCCCCGAGTCAGGAAGCATTTGTGGGTGTCTCATCAGCCACCTTCGGGGTGCTGCTGGGACAGGGCAGCTTCACTCCCAGATCCTGGATCCCGGCCGTGGGTGGCTCACGTCACCCAGCAGGCAGTGGCAGCTCTCCGGGGACATGGAGATCACCAGGGTGGGTCGAGGTGTCCCAGGGAGGATTAATCTCTAAATTGTGAGCACGAAGAAGAGACCTGAGCTGAGCTGCTGTCTGACACTGTTGGCCTGAGCCAAGTCACGCAGAGGTGATGGGGTCATCACTTTTTGGTTTTGTCTTGGCAGGTTGACCCTGATGATGTTCTCACAAAAGAAGAGCAGATCTATCTCCTGGTGGAAGCCAAGGAGAAATGTCAGAGAGACATAAAAGCCCAACTAGAGAAGATCAAAGGTAGCGTCCCTCCCCTGCACGTGGGTCAGCCAGTTCCAGTGGAGCTGGCTACATTGTGGGAAATGCTGTCCCCTCCGATGGGAGCAGGATGGGGCCAGGGACACATGGCTCCTAAGGGTTTGTGGAGCTCCTGGCATTCTGGGGGCTCTCAGCACAATTAGGTGCTAATCAAATCATCACCCTGATTAGCCAGCACTGGCTGCACCATATTCCAGACTGCCCCATGCACACCGCAAACGAGACCCATGGAGGGCCTTGGCCCCCCCGGAAGAGGTGGGATGTGATGGGATGTGTCCCCCTCCTTGGCCCTCCCTGCAGCTCCCCCTGCTCTGCAGACCAGGGCTGATTGCGTGGCAGCGCGTTTTCCTCGCTCTGGTCCAGCGCACGCTTGGGGAAGCTGGAGGTACGCTGTCGCCCTGTTTGGAGATGTGAGATGTGTCTTTGCTCTTTGGCCAGATACCAGCTGCCTTCCAGAGTGGGACGGGATTATCTGCTGGCCAAAGGGCTCCCCCAGCCAGGAGGTGTCGGTGCCCTGCCCCGACTACATCTACGACTTCAACCATAAAGGTAAGCGCTTCCACCTGGGCAGGGAGCGACCTCACCTCGGTGACAATCCTCCACGGAGCAGGGATGTGTCTGGGTCCTTCCACTGTCACAGCACCCGTTGCCGTTCCCAGGTCATGCCTACAGGTACTGCAGTGCCTATGGGACCTGGGCCATGGCTCTCAGCACCAACAAGACCTGGGCCAATTACACTGAATGTGCTCTGCTCTTCTCCTCCGACAGCCGGAGCCGTGAGAAGGTGACCTTGCTTATCAGAGGTGCTGGGAAAAGGGGTTGGGATGGGGGCCAGGGAACTGTGCAGCAAAGGCCAGGGGAATTGCTGGGAGCAGGGGGCTCTTCCCCCTTGACTCCCCAAACAAGCCCTGCTCCCCCCGTGCTCTCAGCCCAGAGGCTGGGGTGGTGGGCCTGGGCTGCGGAGGGGTTGTGGAGCTCAGCCCTTCTCTTCCAGGAGGTGTTTGACCGCCTGCACCTGATGTACACTGTCGGCTACTCCATCTCCCTGGCCTGCCTCATCGTCGCCGTCTGCATCCTCTCGTACTTCAAGTAAGGAGAAGCCAAAGCCCCATCCCCGTGTCGGGAAGAACTGTCCTCTCCCATCACCCGCACACACGACCCTCTGAGGTGGAGCAGCTCCTAAGGGAACGGGAACTGGCCCCAAACCCCAGCACAAACATCAGACAATTTCCCAAAGCCCAAAACACCCGGTATGACCAGCTCCCTGTCCACTCCACCCTGCTCTTGAAGGTGTTGACGCCCCACTTGCCCTCAGATCTGGCTTCTGTGCCCATGGGAGGGCTGACACCTTGGAGCTCACCTTCTCTGGGACCCCTCGTTGCCTGAGCCCACGTGTGATGAGCTTGTTGGGCAGCTGGGGCTGGGCTCGTGTCACATCCCTTCTCCGTAGGCGCCTGCACTGCACACGCAACTACATCCACGTCCACCTCTTCACCTCCTTCATCTGCCGGGCGGTGAGCATCTTCGTGAAGGACATGGTGCTCTACTCGGGCACACTGGCCAGCGAGTCGGAGAAGATGCGGGAGGACGACTTCAAGGCAGAAATGGGTCCCTCGCCAGGACAACGGAGCCACCTGGCAAGTGGCACACCGAGACCGGAGGCAGGATCAGGGGAAAAGGGGATTTAGGAGCCCTGGAGCAAGGGGATGCGCTTGGGACCCTCCCAGATGGGGGCTGTGCTGCTCAGGGGCGATGCAGTTGGGGAGGGATGAAGGGCTGCCTACAGCTCTGCCCAGCTTCTCCCTGCCCTGGTGCCACAGCAGAGATCAGAGCTGCAGAGGACATCGGTCCTGCAGCCTGTCTGAGCTCAGAGTGCCCTGGTGTGGGAAATAACCTCTGCTATAGGAAAGACCTAAAGCACCTGCTCTACATCTGATGTCGGAATATCAGAGACGTAGCTCCCTGCAAGAGGAGGAATGTGAGCCATGCATGGGGCACAGCCTGGGTCTTGCTGGCCAGAGAGCAAAAGCCACCAGGTTTTGCTTTCAGGGGACAGCTTGATATGGGCACCTCTCTGACAATATGTCCACAGGTTGGCTGCAAGGTGGTGGTGACTCTCTTCCTCTATTTTCTGGCCACCAATCACTACTGGATCCTGGTGGAAGGTCTCTACCTGCACAACCTGATCTTCATGGCCTTCCTCTCCAACAAGAACTACTTGTGGGTCCTCATCATCATCGGCTGGGGTAAGCATGGACCCTGACCCAATGCTGAGACCAGGTGGGAGCTGTGGCATCAGCCATGGCCGAGTGGCACTGAGTGCCCAGAGAAGGGCAGCAGGATGTAAACCAGCTGCCAGGAACTGGGTCAGCCTGCAAACGTGATGCTTCATCCGTGCTCCTCACTCTGGTTCCTGCCCCTCCAGGTCTCCCCGCTGTGTTTGTGTCTGTCTGGGCCAGCGTCAGGGCCTCCCTGGCGGATACACAGTACGTAGGTCCACCTTCTCCAGCAGTCCTTTTGGGAGGGAAAGACTTGTTGCAAATGCTAGCAAAATACCTGTGGGCACCAGAACTTTTGAAAATGAAAATTTTCCAAAAAGAACACACATACAAGTCTTGTTTATAAAATTGTCAGTAATCCAGAGCGATAGTGGTTTTGTTCTGCATTTGGGAGGAAGATGGATGCAGGTTTACACCACAAATTGAACAATAAACAGTGCAAAGATGAATGCTAAAGGGCATGTTCTGAAGTTAAGCATTTTCAAAGGAGAAAGGCTACCAAACGTACAGCAGGAGTTTTAGATGAGTTGGCCAAGGAGCCCTCAGGAACATTAATGCTAGTTTAAACTCATTTGGAACACCATGATGGTTATGAATGCTTGTAGCATGGCTGCTGTTGGGTTGAGATTTACACAAACTCCACAAAGGGAGTGAAGGGTGGGAGGATGGGGATGTCGGTTGGGGGGGTACAGGGAACCGTCAGCTGGCAATTTTCCTTACCAGTGATTTCAGGTTTCTCCAAGGTGTTTCTTTACTGGTCTCTTCAGGTGCTGGGACCTCAGTGCAGGGAACATGAAGTGGATTTATCAGGTTCCCATCTTGGCCGCCATCGTGGTAAGAATCCCGTGGCTGAATCTCCCAATCCCTTTTGGGGAAAGGGGATTGATAAGAGACCCAGACCCATTCGCTTGTGCTCACTGGGATTGTGTCCCCAGCCACCCCGGCACCCAGGGAGGGCCCTTGTGATGCAGAGGGATCCGGGGGCACTGGTCCCTCCCTGCTCTGACCACAGCACCACTCCCATGTCGGCAGGTGAACTTCTTCCTCTTCCTCAACATCGTCCGGGTGCTGGCCTCCAAGCTCTGGGAGACGAACACGGGGAAGCTGGACCCCCGGCAGCAGTACAGGCAAGCGCTGGCAGCAGCAAAACCATGTCCTGGCCCTGGTCTGGCTCATTTTCTGCCTGTTTAGCTGAGACGGCTCCCCAAAGGGTTGTGAATGAAGAGCAGAGGCGCAGGAATGGCTGCAGGAGCGAGGGAGGGTGGCAGGACGACGGCAGCCAGTGCTTCTGGCAGCTGAGTTTGATTGAAACAGCAGGGTCAGGACTTCAAGCTTTGCCTGCTCCCTTCTCCAAGCTGGACACTGTGCAGCAGCTATGCACAAACCAGCCGCGGCAGCAGCAGAAGCTAAAGCGACTGTCCTCTGCTAAGATGCTTACCAATGTCTGCAAGGGGGCTGTAGGCTGGCTGACAGGTCCCAGCTAACAGCTCAGAGCATTTCTCCTCTCAGGAAGCTGCTGAAGTCCACGCTGGTGCTGATGCCGCTTTTTGGCGTCCATTACGTGGTGTTCATGGCCATGCCCTACACCGAAGTCTCTGGGGTCCTGTGGCAGATCCAGATGCATTACGAGATGCTCTTTAACTCCTCTCAGGTACGTCGACATGGGGCTGCCTGCCTGCTCCAAACACCGCGTGATGCTCGTCCAGGGAGGGGGGAGGCACACGTACAGCATCCCGGCTCAGGACTCAAACTCCACCTCTGTCTCTTTTGGCAGGGTTTCTTTGTGGCTTTTATCTACTGCTTTTGCAATGGGGAGGTAAGTTAGAAGTGTGAGCAGCTGAGCTCCCCGTTCTAGCTACTTTAGGTTTGGGGAAGTTAACCTGCATCCCCCAGGCTGGGATAACCAGAGGAAAAAACTCAGATCCATCCCTCTCAGCAGGATTTGGAAGGGGGGGGGGGAAATCACTAGGAATAAAAACCATGGGGAAGGGAAGGGATGTTTGTTTTGCTGTCTCTGGGCACAAGCAGCCATCTCTGACCTCTCCGTCAGGTGCAGGCAGAAATTAAGAAAGCCCATTTTCGGAGAAGCCTGGCGCTGGACTTCAAGCAGAAGGCGCGTGCCACCAGCGTGGCAGGGAGCTGCTGCTACGGCGGGCTGGCCTCCCACGCCACCACGAGCTTCAGCGTGAGCCTCGTGGGGCGAGGGGCAGGGAGCACGCAGCAGCGCGGGCTGCTGCTCCCTGCCCGTGGCAGCCTGCCGGGCTACATCCCCAGCTCCTTTGCCTCGGATAACTTTTTGCCCTGTCCGACCCAGGAGATGAGCCAGAAAGCCTGTGGGGAAAACACAGTGGACTTACCAGACCTGAGTCAGCATCACCCCAACGTAAACAAAGAGCTGGAGACGATGCTGTGAAGTGAACGGTGTGTTTTCCATCTGGACATCCAGCTGTGCCCGGAAAGGTGGTGATCCTCACGCTTTGGGCTCCTTTTACGCTTGCATGGAGACCCAGGGTAGGGGATAGCAGCTGGAACAACACAGTTCCCTTTCCCTCACAGCCAGGGTGCAAAGGGACAATGTGCTCTTGCTCCTTCTACCTATTTGGCCTAAAACCAAGCAGCCAGTTCAAAACCTCATTTCCTTCCACGTGCAAGTGATTGATGTAAGTGATGTCTGTGCATGCAAAGCCTTGAATCGTCACCAGGAAACAATCCCCCATGCTCAGTCTTACCTTGACAGTCTGGAAGGTGACTTCAGCTCCAGTGTGTATAAAGCCAATTCAGCAAGCCCACGTTCTGAAGTCTGACTACCCTATTTAGCACCAATTCCTGCGTTGTACAGCCCGGGGCTGGCAGCGTGCATAGTGCCCGCGGAGCTGTTCTGCAGCTCGCCCTGCCCTTACTTCCATCCTCGTGCAGCTCACAGATACCGTGAAGCCCAACACGCAACGCTCAGCTACAAATGGGGAGCGCAAGTCACTGGGATACGATGGGCGCAGGGAGGCAGGCCAAGCTTTACAGCCTGGGCAAGGCGCAGCAAAATGCCTGGGTCCCCCACGCTTTACAGCATGGTTGTCCATAAACGCACAGGCCATTGCATGCAAGAGTCTTGGCCCTGTAATCTTTTTGCAGGCTAAAAAGTGAATAAAGAGAGAGTCTGTATGGCTTGCTTCCATCCGTGAACTCCGTTATGGACTCAATGGCGTTACGCACAGCGATCGGTTGCTGGCGGGTAGCAGAGGGTGTGAAGGGCTGGAAACCCAGCCGCTCTGCTCTCGCTGCTCACTGTTGGGGACAAAGCAGCCCCAACTTTTCCCTGCCTACTCTGCTACATGTGCATTGCCTGGGAAAGCTCATCACCGTGATGGGAAAAGACATTCCTGAGGAGCTTGTGATGCCCAGCCCAGACAATTCAGCCAGACCACAGGGGAGGGGGAGTGGAGAATTACTATGTTGTTGGGAGAGGGGGTATGTATGCCAGTTAAAACTAAACAGCATGTTGGTGGTAGCATGGCGAATTTTTTTTCCTACCTGGTCTAAGGAGACACAGTCCCTCAAGGCAGTAATTTCACGATAAAGACAGTGACAGCGAACATGTATATAATTCTGTGCATTCACAGATCTTCCAGTGAAAAGCTAAAGGGAGTCACAACGATTAGGAAGCACTGGAGGGACAGCCAGCCAGAAGGCCAGGAGGTGCATTAGGGAAGGGAAGGGCTCCAGGATTCATAGTCTTTAAATGGTCCAGAAGATGGTGCAGAGTCAGGCACATCTGCACCACCTCCCACCCAAGAAAACAAGTGCTGTACGACACGGAAGAGGCACAGCTGGGTGGTGGCAGTGTTTGCCCCGCTCCGGGGGACAAGAGGCAGAGGGGGTGACTGATGCGCAGGCACAGAGACAGGAGCAGAATCTGAGGATTGCCCTTTACAAACAAACCTGAGCTTCCTGTAATTGATTTGCTCAGCTGCGAGTTGTGTGCTGGTCTCTTTAGAAGCAAGCAGCACAGCGTGCCACTGCAAGGAGAGAGATTCTCTCTTTCAGGGTAGTTGGCATGCTGCTCACACTGCTACCTTGTTCTGTGGAGATGGAACCAACCCTCTTATGTACCTAACATGGACGTGTGAACTGACATTTATAGCCCTCTGTCAGCGATCAATATTTACTCATCAAGTCTCAAGAGGCTCCTGGTAGCTAAGAGAGGGGTGAGGAATTTCAGTAATCCTATCAAACAGCAGAGGGATGTGTTAAAAAGAAGGGAAGAGACCCAGGCATATGCCACATACAGGGCCAGTTCCCAGTGGCAGCCAGCTGAGATCCAGGAAGGGAGGGAGCAGAGGGCAGTTTTAGACTATGGAGCTATTTTTATTATTTTGTGTTTTGAAACTCAAATCTTTAATTGTGCAGAGTGATAAACCTTAAGCGTGATAACGAAAGGGGAATGCAACAGCTTCTAAACCCCTGCCACATCTGCCCTGGAACATACTTGTCTTAATACTAAAAATGCAGAGCTCAAACTAGTGCAGTGAGGTTTCTGCACAGACTGTGATGAGAGTGTTCAAGTGGAAGCTATTTTTGAAAAAACAAAACAGATTAGAGCTAGTTAGTGAGCAGGCCCAAATAATCAAGCTGGTGTCTTGACTGAAACCAGTACATATGCAAGTCAGATCACAAGACTTGCTGAATTCTCTTTCCAGGTCAACCAATGACCCCATGGAAAGGCTGGGATGAGCAATGTGTCCTGAGCTGTATCCTTCCCACTTGTGAAACAGAGAAAAATTTATTCCCCAAGAGGCTTTCAAGCTAAAATAGGGTTTGCAAAACAGTTTGAGGTGAAAGATACCAGTAAAAACCACAGGAAGTCTTTTATCAACTACAATCCACAACTTCTGGTGAAAGAACAGGACGCAGTCAAATCTCCAGTCAGTCAAATCTCCATCCAAATGCCAGAAGAGCCAAAGGAAGAAGTGGAGAATAAAAAGCACATGCTAGATATTTTTGTCCCAGTAATAAAACATTTACTAGAGCAAGCAGAAAGTAAATGCACAGCTGATAAAGAAAACATCACAATGTCACAAAAACCTGACAGTTTCTGATAATTCTTTCAGTAGAAACAAGACAGAGGTGGGTGCTGACATGTTTCAACAAAAGAGTTCTTCCTTACCTTTATGGCGCAAAAAAAAAAAAAAGTTAAAAAACGGATAGTACACACGAGTTAAAAACAGTCAAGCAACATTTTACAGTTTTAACTACATGTGTCCAATATGGGGCAATATTTGAGCTGTTCCACTTCATCAATTGCTTTTCAGGTTCTCCCTAAAGGCTTCTGAGCAGCAGGTCCCTGAATTTGTGAATGAAGCCTCTTCATTTAGCTACGCTTCACGGGGGGCACCAGCCTCTGATTGTTGTGGCATATCTACATTTTTTTCCCTTTTTTGTTTTTAATTCGAAGAAAGCACTCAACCCTCTCATAACAGAGGGTGCATAGGCACAGCAGAGAAACAAGTTTGCTATGCAGGCTTCCACCAAAATGAAGGTTATTAGGAAAGAAGAGGTTCTTTAAAAGAAAAAATACCTGGGCAATGGGATTGGGATTGATGTACTGACCACAAACAAGCCAGGGAGTCCCGCCTACACTACATGTGAATTTGTGGTTAGCGGGCTGGAGCAGGATCCCTTGGAACAGCTTCATAAAAAATAAAATTAAAAAAAAAAAAAAAGGAAAGAAAAATCAGCTTGCTTCATCCCACCTTCAGCAATGCAAATTGATACATTCTTGGTGGATGGGGAGAGATGTATGGGGCAACCTGGAGGCCAAGTTATTTGTGGATAACAGAATATGTGAAAAGAAGAGATTAGGGAAGAACTCACCATACTGAACAAATTGCTGAAAGATTAATGTTTAACAGGTGGGTCCTGAGCATCTCTAGATGGACTGTCTTTTTAAATGTGAACGCTGGTTAAGAAAAGACTACTTTATACTTCTATGGACAACAGTTTCTTAACGTTCCAAGGATGTGAAACAGCTTCTTTCTTGTCAAGAAGATCTCTTTAAATCCAGCAGAGAGTCACTTGAGCACTGAATGTTTAAAAGCAGAACCCAGGGAGCTTTATCAAAATGATTCCTCTTTGACTAAGCATTGTGTGTACACATCATTAAAGTGAATCTGTCTGCAGATGTACCGGCCCAGACTTGCAATGGGGAGTTTTCATGGTTTCCTTCTCCTCCCCCAGCTGCTCAACAACCAGTTACCAAAAACCCCCAAGAAATCCTCTGGAAAAAGACAACACTACCTGCAGAGATTCCAGGCTGTGAAACACCAGCTTTTAACTGTCCCACCGGCTCTTCTTACGTTTTGGGGGCTCTGGGACAGCAAAACCATCTGTCTTGTTGTCTCGGCTGTTGGCATCCTTCCTGTTCTCACCATTCCTGTTCTCGTTGTTCCTACCTTCGTTGCTATTCCTGCTATCACCATTATTGCGATTGCCACTGCCCACATCAGTGAAGTGCCGGCTTTCACCGTGGCGATGGTTGTCGCCATGTCGGCCCTCTCCGTGGCGGTAAACGTCACTGTGGCGACTGCCTCCTTCTCCATGGCGTTGCACATCATTGTAGCGACCACCACCCTCTCCACGGCGTGGGACCTCATTGTGGCGACTGTTCCGGTTGTCGTTGTATCGTTCTCTGACAATGCTGCCACCACCACCGCCACCACCACCTCCGCTGCTGCTGCCGCCACCACCGCTGCCAGCAGTGGCAACACCGGTGCTGCTGCTGCCTTCTCGATTGTTGGTGCTGGCATTTGTGTTGTTGAAGCCCTGTACTCCGACACTTGGAAAGGTGGGAACGCTACTCAAATTCCCTGTGCTGGTGAAACCTGGAACACCCTTTGCTGCTGCGGCGGCTGCAATTGGGCTGTCAGGATTTGCAGCATTTTGCTGTGCTGAACTCGTCGGTACTGAGTTCAAGCTCCCAGCGCTGGTCCAGCCACTAGCACCAGCAGCAGAGCTACCAGTCTTTTGATTATTTAAGCTTGCAGCAACAAAGTGGCTCTTATACTGGGACTGCCGGAAAGAGACAGAAAGAAAAAAAGAGAGCATGTTTGCTTCTACAGTGCACCACAAAACATGCAGTCATCATGCATACACAAGCCTGTCTTGAATTCTGGGGAGCCCCTAGGAAAAAGGGTTCCTATAAAAAGTCAGTCTTGGAGTGATTACATTCCTGCTGTGCTTACGAACACAGAATTAGTAACGGACATCTGCTACCAGACCACAGAAACAAGGGAACTCCTATATTGTGGGGTTAATTTTTACACTGAAGAGAAAAGGTTTCTCTGTGCCCTGTTTCTTTTGATTGCAATTACACCATTGCTGCTAAGCAACCTAAATAGGATCAAGCCTAGGAGCAGAATC